GAAAATGTTTGTCTTGCAATTTCTCAGTACTGTTGTTGACATATAAAATATATATTCTCTCTCTTTTATATATATATATATATATATATAAAACTCAGTAAGTCGATTTTTTTTTTTTTACATGAATGTCGATATATTTGTGTAATGCACCTCGATACATTGCTTACTTTACCTTTTTTTTTCTTCAAAAGCGGGCCGAAGTTAATCTGTTTTCTAAAATATTGTCAGAAAAACGATTACATTTAAACAATAAACAGGAACTCGGGAAAACATCTGTGCGATTTATTGCTTATGAGCCGATTTGGGATTTTAACATTTTCTTTTTCGCCATCCTCAGACAGTGTGAGATAACTTCGACATATTCAGTGGACTACCAAGAAAACATGACGGACCTACAAATGGAATAACCCAAAACTCTTATTTAGCATTTGGATTACCTGATGGCATGTTCTTATAGATTTTACTTTTTTTATCGTTATTTCATTTTCCTTTTTGTACCATTATCGGATTAACTTCAGATATGTTTTCCGGAGTTCAATTCCCTTACTTTCTGCTGGATTCACTTTGGTTAAATCCACATCAGGATAAAATATAAAACTCTCAAAAATCCGTTAAGTAGATTCTTCACTGGCGAGGTTTATTTTTGTCAATATGTTTGCATAAATGTGTTAATATCTTGTCTTTTCCACAAGGGTAAATAGCCACAAATACGTTGAGAACTATAATATACATATAATAAATATGGTGTTAGACTAAAAGTTAACACTACCGAAAATTTATATCGGCCATTTCATGCATCTTGCATATGACGTTTGTTAAAAGGTCAAGTCAGAAGTCACTTCCTGCTGCCAGTATCATCGAACTTAACACAATACCCCGTTTTGCTCAAAGTAGCACCTATTGTACCGAAATTAACATAAAATACCCAACTTGATTTCCCGATCATCTAATATGTTATGGAATATCTGTCTATATTTCTGAGATGAGGTGTTATGTACACTATTTACATTATTCGGACTATTGTCCTCATCTTTGTCGCCATAATTATTACGTTTCGGCCGTTGTACGCTCTGGTCTTCTTCAGGTGGTTTGAATGTCGAACTGAACCCTTTATTTCGCTCAATGGGGTAGACTGTTAATATATACTAAAATATATATACTATATAAAATATATTGTAGAACAGGTATATTGACCTTGACTTGTAGAAAAATACGTATGCTGTTGATACACTGAATGATTTTAAAACCCCAAGTCGGCACATAGCAAAAAATTGCCCACCCGTGGAAAATTCTGGAACTTCATTTATTTAAAATAGCCATACATTGACCAAAAGAGATCAGATTTGATGAAGAAGTGCAAACAGTTAAGAGGGTACAATGTACAGTTGGTTTTACTTGAATGAAACAGAGGAATGCAAAAAAAAAAAAAAAAAACCTGAGGATTTCAAGAGTCGTCAGCGTGGTGAAAAACCTTTCTGGCATCTTTAAATCGTTCACTTCTGTACAAATGCAAAACATGTCCATCTCTTTTGGTCGCCGACAAGTCATTGGTTATATAGCAAGAGAATTCAGGTTCCCTAAAAGATGAAGAGGAGACTTTAAGCAACAGAAATGTGGAGGTAGTGGATAACTTTCAAAGGGGAATTAACAGGAGATAGCTGATAACTGACATCCATTAAACATGGCACGTGGAACTGGAACACTCTACCCCAGTGAGCGAAATAAATTCCAATCACCTGAGGAAGGCCGGAGCGTACAACGGCCGAAATGTTGTTATAAATATAGCAACAAAGATAAGGACAATAGTCCGAATAATGTAAATAGTGTTATGGAATAATCTTTCTTAATGATAGCGTTTTTATTTTTATTGTGAGCAAGTATTTACGAATAAAGAATTATTTTACGAATAAAGTCTTATGCAAAGACATAAAATGGCCTTTATAAATGTTCGGTAGTGGTAACGTTTATGCTAATATTATATTTCCACAAAGATACAACGTGATAGGCTAAATAATTTTTTTGTTTAAAAAAACAATCCTACAAAGAAATAGTTCAAAGAAAGACAGACAACACCAGCCGAGTCTTTGTCTGCCAAATGATGGCAAATAACATGTACAGTGTAACCCGGATATGAGATTTTCTCTGGTCCCAAATTAGAGCTTGTGTTAATGTATATAAAATAGACCAAACCCGGATATAAGAGACTTCTTCGGTCCCGACAACTCTCTTATATCCGGGTTACACTGTATGTAAATTACCAATATAAACGTAATACGCTTTTTTACAATTAAAATTATAATGCTGCATAAGAATGTCCTCAGAAAAGAAAGCTACATAAAGTGAAGTAAAAGAGAAATACTTCTAAATAGTTTTAAAAGAAAAATTTGTTACACATTTTTGAAGCAAAGTTCATGGTAACAGCGAAAAATAGAACAAGCATACCAACCAAGGACTTTTCCTTGATGTGTGAGCGAGCTTGTTCTTCTTTTCGATTCTCGTCTGGTGGCTGTCAAAATATTTCTGCGTTGTTTTTCATTCTGGACCTGGATTTCTGTAGCAGCTTTCGTCGACTCCGAAAACCAATGCAAGCCCCTTAAATAAACTACAGGTAGACTCCTAATACGCTGCTCGAAATTTAGCGAGACATTCGTTTTTGATGTTTTGACACTAATCAAAATGTACCATAAATTTTTTTCGAAATGTAAAAATTAAGCAAGAATCCGTCGCAGCGTCTAATTCCTCTCTCATAGCCCGATGCACGCCCAAGCAACTTAAATTTCCCTATACTGCATGGTTTTATTTGGCATACAGTTAACATTTTTTCATGATCATCTCGCTATATTAACTTCGTTAACGAGTAAACCACGATGTGATAGTAAGTAGCCGCGTAGTTAAGTCTGAACTGAAATTTCTGTGTTAATTTGACTCGCAGATGAATATACCGTAAAGCCATTGTAGTTCAAATTGAAAATGTCTTGAAACTGAATTCAAATGTCCGTCTTATTTAAGAAATGATCGTCGGGGTTCAAGTGATTCACAATAACTGAAAACCTATTTTATTACCATCTTGGTACATCTTCCTACATTGTACCTATAGAGACAAGTCCTGGGCGGGAGAATATTCATTGATATTGGAGCCCCTTAAGTAACAGGCTAGTCTCATAAAACAATTCATTAGTCTAGTGTGGGAATAGCGTAACGGCGAGCCGGGTTCAAATTCAGGTCGTATGCGCGTTCAATTTCATACTAATTCTCTTGGGGAAAGGCCTTCTTTCTGTTCCACCCATTTGTGGCTTAAGTAGCAGTCTACTGGAATCTCGCGGCTTGAGTGGCAGACATTTTAAGAGAACAATTCTAAATTCAAAACCGCATAGAAGGTAATGGTTAAGCCACTTCACTATTTTCCCAAGAGGTTATGGCAATATCCAGATGACAAAGAAAATTAACCTCTGTAGAGCTGAAGGGATAAGCTATTTATTAAAAGAAAGCGATTTAAATAGCAGGATAAACTGTGCTCTCTCGCCTTGGCTAGGAAGAATCTAAAAGAGGGACTGTCTCAAGAAGGCATGGAAAACAAAGTCTATGATGATCGATTATCAGCAATATCCTTTGACATGGCATTTAAAATCGTATAGCGAGTTTCTTAGTGACTTTATTGCCTTGCATGGTGTTAAACCGAAAAAAAATCAGTTTATTTTTCATTCTTACCAGAAAACGCTAGACTTGAAAACAGATATTAACGGTTTTTATACAAGCTAAAAAAAATTAGTTTCATTCTCACCTGAAGACGCCAACGTAGAACACAGAAGAAACGTGTAGTCATTAAAAAAAAAAACTTTTTCGCTTTGTCATTCCTCTGCGGGATGCAAAATTAATTTCAACTTCACCCACCGCGACGCAAATGAGTCCGAACTTTTATTGCCGATAACTCCAGAAAAGGTAGATTTTATCAAAATTTCTTTATTTTCGAATTAAGCAAGTATATTTACACCTAAATGAAACTATTCGAGAATTTATTAGAAACTGGGCGCGAGGTTTGAACTGCAAATTACACTTTTGAGGCTCCGAATTGAAATTAGTTCTGTCACCCTCCTCTGCGTATAGTAATCTATAAAGGCATTGGCATCAACTTAGGCCTTTTAACGGAAAGGCATTCACCGACTTTTATTTGCGTTACTTGCTGACATAAGAATGAATATTTGCAAAGAATATCTTCGATACTTAAATATTTCCTTGAAGACTTCTCATATATAGAAGGAAAAGGTAAATGTAGCAGTGAATATTCGGGGTTCAAGTACGGTTTGATACTTTTGTAAACGTTTGGATTTATTCTACATATTTCCTTCTTCTTGTAGGTTGATTTTTTTTCTTTTTTCTTGCAAAACATCACACTTGTGTATGCCGATTGAGCAGCTGCTTTCATTTTTCTCATGTATGTATTTTTCTACGTTTCAGGTATTTCGTTTTTATATCATTCTCTTCTTTCTTTCTCCCCACCTTCAAGTATTTTTTTTTCATTATTTCTCCGGTTATCGGTTTCCTTTCTTTCTCTCCATTTTGTTTTGTAATTTTGATTCCCCAGCGTATTGTTTAATTCCTACCTTCCCCCCCTCTCTCTCTCTCCCTTCAAATATTGTATTTCTTGTTTTCGCTCTCTTGAATCCTTCATTTCTTTCTCGTATAGGCTTTCTTTGAGATTTGTCATCCTTTCTATCATTTATTGCTGATAGATATTTAAAAAGCTTAGCATAATTCAGCCAAATCCAAAGGGGTAGAATTAAGATTATGTCTCTTTTTGTGTTCTCTACTTTTCCTCCATTTCCTCTTCTGTTTTTTCTCCTCCTCTCTTTCCCTTTCTTTACCATATTTCACTTGCTCTTCTGCAAAAATGTTTTTCCCCTTACCATCTTCGTCGTATATAATTTCGCCACTTCAATTTATATCATTTTTCCATCAATTTCTGCCTCGAAGTGATTCTGAATCTCCATCGATATTGCAATATGGCCTCTTTTCCCGCTCTCCACTACACCAGCTGGTCCGTCTGCTTCTCACTTTGTTTTCCGACCTTTTTTTTTCCGACTTCGCTTCAAATGCTTCCCATGTTTACTGTCAATCGTGTTTTATTTATTAATTCATTTTTGACGGGGTAACGAAGTCTGATTCAAATTCTTTCAAATTCAAAGTATTTCGAGTCATTGATCGATCGATATCAGTTTCCGCAATTTTCTATATGATATACATTCTCAACTAATTTGACATTGGTATCAATCTCTCTCAGTTTACATCAGTCTGTCAATCGCTCACTCCATCTATTTCTATAGATATCTATCAATCTCAGACGAATCGTATTTATTTTTATTTATCATAACCAGCTATTTTTTATGTAGGAACCTTCGTACAAATCTGACACTGTAATATCTATCTATCTATCTATATATATATATATATATATATATATATATATATATATGGCGTGTGTAATGATCCTGTTTATCAAGTTACTCAGGATTTTCCGTACCGTAAGTTACTTTCGCACGTGTGGTTATCTCAATCGACAATGAAATAATCAGTTTTATTTTTTATAATTTTCCTTTATTTGTGGAAGCCATTTCACAGTTTGGGTTTTCGAACTTTTAAGTCCGTATTCAGGTATAATAATTTACTATACTTATGTGGGATGAATGCTCAGTATTGGAAAGACACTTTATCAGTTTCAATTATATACGCAGTATCCGAATACCGGGTTTAAAGGTTTATAGAAAATAAGACTGATTATTCACTTGCAGAATGAGATAAAGACATGTGCGAAACTTATGGCACTAGAAATTCTAGATAACCTGAGAGTTAAACAGGCTCACCAAATATTTGTGCAGCAACGCCGAAACCTTATACTTTACACACGCGCATATATATATATATATATATATATATATATATATATATATATATAATAAAAAGAAATGTTTAAACATAGGTTATATACGAGAAAATGCAGATTAAATGAATGCCATATTTCTAAGATAAATTTTCTCAATATTCAGATTAGAGCTTATCTAAATATAACGTGTTTGGAGACAGTTCAAGACCTAATGGCGACAGTCTCTTTCTTGCTTGAACGCAATCTTCGCTTGGTTCGAACACCGAGTACAAGCCTGAAACATTGTTGCCATTCAATTTTGAACTCTGTTTTCATTCACACACGCACACATTCAACTCTCCCGTCGAATTCGACGTATGATGGTCAAGCAGCTCAGTTCCTAGGTACCAATAGCCAGACATCAGCACATGTGATTTGATTATAGTGGTGAAGGTTTTGTGCAGAACCATCCACACTTTTAGAAGGACCGAATACAGAGACCTGGTGCACTACGTGCCACAAGGTCCCCAAACGACCCCGCGCAGGTTTCGAATTCAGAGTTGTCCTTCTAGACCAGTTGCCGTCCATGGCTATAGAACCCATCCTGCCCTGCTATTTACCCATAGCTGGAAGGAGAAAAGGATTCATACCCTTTGCCAAGGGTATTAGCGCGTATTATTCACACACACACATATATATATATATATATATATATATATATATATATAAGCATTCTCTAAAGTCTACTGGAATGAGTACATTTCGAGGTAGACTTTATCCTGTAGTTGATTTTATGCAAGAAAAAATTATATATAATTAGATAAAGATATACATTGATTAGCTGTCACCTACTTAACGTCAAATTTTCATGATAATATAGGCGACCGCTGTTAAATAAATTACAGCTCCATTCAAAACTATTACGCATATGATCAGAACCAAAAATGTAGTAAGATATAAAGTCAGGGCTGTCCCTTACAATATATTGGTGAAACTTGCAGAAATTTATAAGAATATATCTGAATATATGATCTTCATCATAGCAATTGCTCCAATGTATTATATATACACAAATAATTTCAGCTGCAACTTTGATCTCAAAAATGCTCTACTCGTTAAGAGAAAATAACTTATTTGCACGAAAAGTTATTGAAAGTGCAAATATTGTATCTTGTCAAAATGTTTACTTACAAATTGGATTTTTTTTTAGATATTTTCTTTTTGAAATAAAATGTTCCTTTCCAAGACAACGTACATATACATTATGATAAATAAAATAAATTAACTAGCGATCTTTATAAAATTCCTGTGTATAAATGGAAGTTTCTAAAATTTCCACACTTGCTTTGATAAAGTTCAAGTGACGAAATGTGTTTGCGTTTAGACCAAGAATAAAAACAATGGGATTTTCCCAACTATGTAAAAACAAAAGGAGCCTATGTTGCAACCACATTAAACACAGCAATTCGTTCACTAGCTCAGTCACTAACACTACTTTCAAAATCAACCGCAACTCTAACTATAGAAGTCATAACATAATTTACTTATTAGAATACAACACTATGCCAGAAAAATACCTGTAGAACAACATTTCCGTCTAGAAAAACATGATTTTATAGCTATGTAAAATTCACTATTATTAAAAGAATAGAAATACACAACGGATAAGCTTATAAAAATACTAGAACATGAATACAAATTGGATTTTGCACCCCAAAACACTGTCCGGACGGACTTAACAACAGACTAAACAGTACAAATAGATCTAATACATAATCCCCTAGATCAACCCCCAGCCATATATCTCAACCACACTAGACAGACATGCATGCAGAGGTGTTGAGGTCTCCTACATACACACTCTCACAAATATATATTCATACACACATCACTCCCCCACAAAAGAATAAAAGATAAGAGACATAATACGGTCCCCAGCAACCAATGAAGCTGTCAGAATGTAGAGGTAAATCTGAGACTCATGAATCTCCCAGACTCTCCTTAAAAAGACTTGAAAGAGGCATTTTGACCAATACAATAACTAACCGAAAATTAACGATAATAAAACAAATGAAAGCTACAACCGTCTTGAATATGACGATAAACTTACAGCCTTCCTGGGTAAGACGATGAAATGCACTCAGCATCAAGGCATCTGATCAGGACGTTTTGAGGAGCATGGAACCACCTCTTAATTGCCGATGTTCCCTGGTCTATCTTGAACCGAGGCGGTAGCACTTGCTAGGATCCCAGTTATGGGCAAATAGTTAACCCCCAAACTGTGGTCAAAAAAAAAAAAAATTGGTTTTAATACCAGCAATACATTTTTTTAAAAAAAAAAAAAAAAAAAAATAAGAGCAATAATGCATTTTTGAAAGAAATTCTTGTCGGCATTAAATAAACCATTGAGGTTGATATGCCATAAAACAAATAAAACCAGACTGAAACCTACAGGCAAAGTACACTTTCTTCGGAGACTGTCATTCAACCATGCAGTTCACTGATACAATCAAGCAGGAATTCTTCATCCGATGACGGGCCATGCTGGCCGAAACTAGTCGAGGAAGCTAATTGAAATAATAAAACTAAAATATTAAATACAACCAATTGTCTGAAATTTAAATTTTTTAACATTCTGTTATTGTTCAGGACACACAGATATGATATACATAAAGTTGCTCACCTAATTACTGAGAAAAAGATTGCTTTTTAGTTTTGTAAAATGCAATCTTTCTTGCTGATTCCATTAATGTATTGGTGAATATTAATTGTATAGATAGAACATCATATATAATTTCAGATAAGATGAACTAATTACATTTCATACTTATCCTCACTGGTGCATTACTTATATAAAGTCCATTTTTAATATATGACGTCATCTGGTTACGTTAATCTACGCTTCGTGTAGATATGAAAGTTCAAGGGAAATCATGGGAAGTTTGTAGTTTAAAAGTAGTAATTCGACTTTGCTAACCAGATGCGACCTTCGTAGTTAAACTAATATAGCACGTCAGGCTATATGACAGTTCCCTGTAGGATACAAGTTCGATTCCTGTCGGAGGACGCATATTTTCTTTGAAATTTCTCGGACATTCAAGCCTGTAAATGTTAATACTGTTTATTATATACAAAGCATTTAATTAAGTATTTGTGTATATATAAATAACGTATAACAATAAAATGTCGGACTTAGTCCATTTCGTTTTATATATATATATAGAGAGAGAGTGCAGCTTATATTTTATATCATACAGAAACAATTTATACAAAGAATTATTTACAATGTTAATGTGATTAATGGCGAAATTACTTCGCTAACAATGTTTAATGAAAGATTAACTTACTATCAACTACTTGAATAATAAGATCCTTATATACGAGTTGTTGTCGGATGAAGACACATGCAAAGAACTTTCTGCAATTTCAAATTGTCATCTTCAGGTCGCGATTTTTCCCATACACATAAAAACAATATATATATATATATATATATATATATATATATATATATATATATATATATATATAATAAGAGGCTTGTTTTATAAATCTGCTCAGATTCTATATACTGCTCATTTTACCTGAAAAATTTGTACGCTATTTTTTAATATCTATTATATTTATAAGTCATCCATATTTCGTTCTGTTTGCAGTTGTCCATTCTATTAATATTTTTTTTCCATCCTTTCTAGTTGATATGATTAATTTTTCATGCATTGATGACCAGGACTTGATTTTTCTGCAATTGTATAAAGTATGCCCTATAACCATTTGTCTTAGGCAGAACTAGATAAAATGTTATCAATCTTTTAATCACCTTACGTGACAAATTAATGAAAAAGCGATACGTAAAAATAATGGAAGATGAGGCCACAGTACTTTGAAGTCCTAGAAATACTTTGAACTATATCAATTGTTCTCAGGTAAATCAGTTTGAATACCAGCTCGCCTGTTCACGGCAAGGCGATTTGAATAATCAGAAGACATGATGCTGGGTGACAGACATATGCAACATTTCATTGCAATTGAGATGCATAACCTCATGAGATGCCTGAACAGAACCTTACAATCTAGCGTTAACAGATGGAACACTGACTCGAAGTCAAAAGTTGCAAGTCCTCAAGGATCCAATTAACGATGTCGTGAGCCGAAGGGAAGAGTTATATCCGTTATTAAGACACACCGTGGGTTTTCTACTCTTCCATCCTATGGAAGCTAAATGCCGCTGATCTCTTTAATAAGCGTCTAATACCCTCATCATTAAATGTGGGAGTGATATGACCATATGGATCAACGTCTTGCACAATCTTGTCTAGCGTGTGTAGTCCTATCTATGATCAGGTGTTTTCAGTTCAGATGTGACATCCTAGATCGATGAATATCAAATGCCTCCACATTTTCAGAAATGGAATGGTACGTTCTACGACAATAATATACCTGTAGAAATTCTCCTGTCACATTAAATATTTGAGCTTGTTGATTGTTGAGCTTAAATGTTTAACAAATATTGCAGCAGCAATCATAAATAAGAATGCTGGTCGTTATTTTAAGTAAGGAGGTACAAATAAAAGGATTGAAAGATTTGAAATTGACATTTTTTTTCCTCTTTCACTGAAACAAACGTTAAACACTTTCCTTTTTTTTTTTTTTTTGAAATTTTTTTTTTTTCTTGTCTTTTTATTCTTCTTTCTTTTTTTTTTATTCTTTTTTCAAACTTTTTAAACTTAGTTTTTTCTTGTCCTTTTTTTTTTTCTTTTTTGTCCTTTTTTTTTTTTTTCTCTAAAGTTTTTTTTTTCTTTTCTTTTCCTTTTTTTTTTTCTTTTTCTTGTCCTTTTTTTCTAAACAAATTGTCCTTTTTTTTTTTTCTTTTTTTGTCCTTTTTTTTTTCTTTCTCTTGTCTTTTTTATTCTTCTTTCTCTTGTCCTTTTTTTTCTTCTTTCTCTTGTCCTTTTTTTTTTTTTAAAAATCTTTTTGTTTTTTTTTTTTTCTCTTGTCCTTTTTTTTCTTTTTTTCTTGTCCTTTTTTTTTTCTTTTTTTTTTCTTGTTTTTTTTTTTTTTTTTTTTTTTTCCTTTTTTTTTCTTTTTTTTTTTTTTTTTTCTTGTCCTTTTTTTTTTTTTTGTCCTTTTTTTTTTTTTTTCTTCTCCTTTTTTTTTTCTTCTTTCTCTTGTCCTTTTTTTTTCTTCTTTCTCTTGTCCTTTTTTTTTCTTCTTTCTCTTGTCCTTTTTTTTTCTTCTTTCTCTTGTCCTTTTTTTTTCTTCTTTCTCTTGTCCTTTTTTTTCTTTTTCTTCAGATTTTTTTTCTTTTTTCTTTTTCTTTTTTTTCTTCTTTGTCCTTTTTTTTTCTTCTTGTCCTTTTTTGAATTTTCTCTTGTCCTTTTTTTTTTCTTTCTCTTCCGAATTTTTTTTTAAAAAATTTTCTTGTCTTTTTTTTTTTTTGAACTTTTTTTTTTCTTTCTCTTTTTTTTTTTTTATTTCTCTTGTTTTTTTTTTTCTTTTCTTGTCCTTTTTTTCTTCTTTTGTTTTTTTTTTTTTTTTCTTTTTGTCCTTTTTTTTCTTTTTCTTGTCCTTTTTTTTTTTTTTTAAATTTCATCTTGTTTTTTTTTTTTCATTTTTCCTTTTTTTTTCTCTTGTCCTTTTTTTTTTTTGAATCTTTGTCCTTTTTTTTTTCTTTGAAAAATTTTTTTTTAATTGTCCTTTTTTTTTTCTCTTGTCCCTTTTTTAAATTTTTAATTTTTTTTTGTCCTTTTTTTTTTCTTCTTTCTCTTGTCTTGTCTTTGTCTCACTGAAACCAAGTGTTGTATTTTTTTTTTTCATTTTGAAAAATATTAGCCGGATATTAATGGATACAAAGGGTCATACGAACAAATAAAGAGAAGAGACAAACACAATTACAATGGGATGCGTTTACGTTGTCTGGGTTATGGGATCTCGTTCATCTAAGTGTCTAATATTGTGAGATGTAGTTTATACCTGACGAAGTCTGGAGAACTGGCTGAAACAATTGCGACAATTGAATAGCACAAAGAGGAGTTGTAGAAAACTTGGAATATAAATTTTCTTCTCAAACCAATAAATATTATTTCAAGTGAATCATATTGTATCCCCATTATTTGAATTGGTCTTACTTTTATTCGAGTCTTGTTTCACTATGCGTCATACCTAGCTGGTCGATCAGAAGTAGCGTTCAATTAGAATGGAGCAAAAACAGCATCATATTTAGATGTAACAGTACTTTCAGTAAGAAACATTTTGAATTAATGCATTTACTGATATAGGAGAAGTAGTCTGTATTTATTCAATGGAAGTTAGAAGGGGTAAAACAAGCAACATGAAGACCCACTTCAGAAATTCAATTTGTCAGTGTGCTAACAGGGATGTAAAAGAGGATACATTTATAAAAAAAATTAAGTTTGACAAAATTGGTTGAAAGATCAACGAAAAATAAGAAACAAACCAGCACAAATCGCCATTTTATAAATAAATATGAGGTATCGTTAAGCTCGTCATGATGTAAGTAATCTATATACCGAGCTTGAACGAAATCGGAGGAAAAATGTTGAATTTATCGATTTTTGATCGGCTTTATTCATTTTGTTCTTAAAATATCGATTTTTTATATTTTTTAATTTTTTACAATATGTGCGCCAAATTGTTTGGTCAAAATTTAAATACAAACACACACACATATATATATATATATATATATATAATATATATATAGAGAGAGAGAGATTAAATGTTTAACTGTTTCTATGCGAATTTGCCTCTGTTATCGCTAATATTTCTTAAAGATTTTTTGTAATGTGAGCAAAGAGTCTGTTGAGATTGACACCTAACTGAGTTAGACGAGCGATAAGAAAAAATAATACTGACTCGGAAACCACTGTAATTTGAGAAACATCTCACTGCTGTATTACCCCAGCCTTTATTGGCATGAGGCATCTTAGAAAGACCCGGTTCTTGACCAGTTAAAGAGAGGTCCATATCTAGCTAAACATGCCAAACTGTTCCGTTGCTAACGGAAAAAACCGGATGTAAGTAGTGTTGACAAACGTGTTCACTAGCCATTCGAGATTTTTTTTTCCGTCTGTACTGACGCGCGTTCGACAGAAAAATATGTTGAAATTTTCATTCTCAGTTCATGGTTTGGACATTTTCTAATGTTCGACATTTTTATTCTCTCTATATATATCATTTCTAAGTAACCAAGGCATTGTTGCACTATAATTGTCGATTTCAATCATTTTTATCTGATCGGTTCGATAAGGTCAAATTGGCAGTTGAGCTAAAAAATGACCTATGATGAGCTTGTTAACTTAGGTACCTCCACGAGATCGCTAAAAAAAGAGCATAGCATGATGAAAAAGACGCCAAACTTGACGAAAACAAAATTTTATCGTCTAAATGTTTGTTATTATTAAGAGGAAAGGTCAAAGTATTTTTTGGGGTATTTTTTTCCATTTTTAATCGTTCCTAGCACGTCCGAAATTTTCGTTAAAAATCTTTTTTTTTTTTGAGTCAGCAAAAATTGACCATTTTTTTTCCATTTTAAAAAAAACTGGAAATCTGACTTTGAAATTTTTTAAATATCAATTATCATTTTTTCAAAACTTATTTTAAGAAAATCAGAAATTATAATGTTTATTTAAAATATTTTGAACCAAACTTAACTTAGCTTTTTGTGCCAAAAAGATGTAATTTGAAAATAAAACAAAGCAGGTCATAAACTTTCGCGTCTCTTGACATGTGATGAATGATATATTTACGAATTCCATGAGGCTAATTTGTTCTACGGAAGGAGAAAAAGTGAAATAATTTACATTTACGTGAACAAATTATTTACCTCGTTATTTTTAACGAAAACTTTCAGCGGTCTAAATTTTTTTTTTTTTTTTGTACTTAGCTTTCACCTTTACGTTTATGATGCTTTATGGGAAATATATTGTAAAGAAATTAAAATAAAACTGTTAAGAGTGACATTAAATTTCATATTTCTTAAGAAAGGTATCTAATTAATTTATAGGTACCTTTCTTATGAAATTTTATCAGAATTGTACATAAAATACTATAATTTTATGTACATTTATTACATTCTACTGTTATTTGTATTTGCATTCATTTTATTATTAATTTTGATATTTCATTTATGGAAAAATGATAACTGAGATTAATATAAAATAAGATCATATAAATTTCATAAGATGATACTGATACTTGTAGGTACCCTTCTCAGTTGAAATTGAAAAATCAAATTAACTTCTCCACACGTGTTTCAAAAAAGTAAAGGCCTTAACAGCGGAGAACAATGCTTAACTCAAATAACGCAACTTAATTATATTCTGGTTGGTCTTCCGTATTTTATAATTACAGCTCGATTATAAACACAAAATTACATTTCTTAATTACTGGGGATCTTCTGATTAGTCAAAATGATACAATTTACAACGCTAAAAAAAAAAGATCTATCTCATAAGGACACTTATGAAAGCCGATGCGGCTTTTAACTAATTTTATAATATTTTAACAACTTAAATGTAAAATCTATTATAATTAATGAAATAACAAATAATTGTATTAAAAATTCATTTTTTCATCGAAAAATTTTTTGCTTTCAGAAAATATTGTCCATATTCATAAAAACAACTAAAAGCAAATAAAAGCATTTGAAATTAAATAATATATTTGTTTTATTGAGTTTTGTATGTTACAATTCAGAGCTGATTTTCAGGTACTGCGTATCCAATTAAAAACAAAAAAAAACATGATTTGCATTCCTCAAAGCCCTGTGCTTTTAATTATTGTAATCACTAAAACCGATGCGATGGAATTTCTAGCGTTTTCATAAAATTAGTTATGGGGGGGGTAAAAATATAAAAAAAATATTTCTACCATGACTTTTAAAAAAAAAAAAACATATTTATAATAATTTCGATCATCTGTGAATAGTTTCTGAAAGTTTCATTAACATCCGATAATTATTTTTATTTTTGCACGATTTTTCAAATTAATGTGTGTCATACCAAAAAAAACGTGCTAAAAATTGTCTGTTATTTACTAGTTCCGCTGATACAAATAGAAAAAAGGTTTTTTTAATCAAAATTTAGAATGTTCTAAAAAGAAGGAAAATTTTTTAAAAATAATTAAAAAAAAACTTTGGTCTTTCCTCTTAATAATAACATAAGCATTTAGACAATAAAATTTAGTTTTCGGCAAGTTTGGCGTCTTTTTCATCAAGCTATGCTCTTTTTTTAGCGATTTCGTGGAGGTACCTATAATAATTTTTTAAGTGTTCCAAAATTGCATATTTTTGTTAATCTTGAGAACCGCAGTGAGTTTTTTATTTGGATATTTTAAAGTATCATTTATACTAATAGAATAGAAAAAAAAAATTTCTTCGGGATAACATTTTCTGTTAACATTAAGTGGAAAGTTTATATTGAATCAATTTCCAGATTTACTGATAGGAAAGTTAGCTCACTTTGTCGAGCCAGACAATTTTTCTCTCCAGAATCTATCTTACATATTTATAAGTCGAGCATTCGTACATGCTTTGAATACTGTTGCCACTCCTGCAATATTTACAAAATTCGATTAATCTAAACTGTTATTAGTCGCATTTCGAAATCAATCACTATCCCACCGCCATAATGTAGCTTCCTTGGGCCCTTTCTCAATGGTAATAGTTCTAAAGAACTTTCTTTTATCTTAGACAGAGTTTATGAATTTAAGTACTAGATTGGTAGCAAGGTCTCATCATTTTAAAATTGAAATTGCTAGATGTAACCCTAAGTTCTATGGTAACAGTTTCTTCTGTCGCACTTCTCGCTTGTGGAACTCTCTTCTGGTTTCTTGCTTCCCAGTCAAGTTTGATCTTCAGAAATTTAAATGCAATGTCAATCGTTATCTTCCGTCTTCTTAATTCCCGTTCTTTTATTGTTCTCGTTCCTTAAGGATTTTTTTTCTTATATTCTTTTACACAAAATAACACCTTGCGTCTTAGTGGCTTTATTGTCTTAGAATTATTCAGTGAAGTAACAGCAATATAAGTATTTGTTACATGCAGTAAAATAACCGAATATATGATCAGGATATTAGACATTTTTGCTTGCTAGATATTGAGCAACATTGCATTGGTGGGTTCTAACGTCCAGTTTCTTCTATTCTTCGCCCAATACGAAGACAGTGTCACTTACGGTAGAGGTTCAATGCGAGGGAGGTTGTCTGATGGATGGAAGCATTGTGGATCATGAGGATATCATTAATTTGGTGCAGATTCTGTGTCGGCTCATTCGGTACTAGACTTTTTCACTTTATTATACAAATTTTCTGTCCATGGATAAACAAAATTCAGAGATTCATCTAATCTACATACAGCGGCTCTTGTTTTTGTCTATTTTAAACGTCAACGCTATTTTGCGGAACTTCTATCCATGGGGAGAAATTAATTAAAATGAATAAGACAAAAAAATACCAGGGTGTATTTTTAAGATTTACCAGCAGGCATTTAACAAAAAAAAAAGGCAATTTTTCTATTCGGAGTTTAGAATAATAGATTAATTGATTAAAATCATGATACACTGAGTCTAATTCTGTTCATCCTCAACCTGAAATCTCTCGCCCTTGTCACCAAGAATTGGCAAAATAAATAATGAAAGAACAAAAACCAACCAAGAAGTCGTAACGATTTTGTTTTCACTGCCTCATCTACACCTTTGTTCAAATTACTTGAAACAACCGCTTTAGTTCTCTTTCTTTCACCATTCGGCCAGTTTTAGACCCACTAGAGTGACAGAGAGTAATCGATTTCAATTTTTTTCCTCAGATTAGGTCATTTGCAGTGGTGAATCTATTTTCGGGGTGTATGATGAAATTTGTTTGGCCTTGAAAAATATTGCGTCACCCGTGATTGTATTAGATTGTTGTCACGCTCAGACACTATTGTCTTGACTGTCGATTAGTTATCCTACAACCAGTGTCTGCGATGGACGTTACTCCAAGGAAACGCACGAAAATTGTAAAGCTGCATGACGACACTGGCAAATCTTGCCAGGGAGCAAATCAAAGTACAATAGATTGGACCGGAAACTGTTAATTTTAAATCCAATCGTAAATATGTGGTCAATCTGCTAGGAACGACTTCGTGGAATGGACATACGAAATATTAGCATGTGCACAGGGTCATGTTTCATTGGAAAAAGAAGTAATAACGGAATTATTCGTTTTGTTTCAACTAATTTGCACAGGATTGTACGTCCAATCTATTCAATGATAGCCAGCTATAATAGTTTTTTGTAATCTATAAAAATTCAGAAAATATCCTAGGCAAACAAATTTGAGGAAATATTAGAAAATTACCAGTAAATTTTAACTTTAATAGAGTTACAGCACTCATTTTCTAATATAATCGTCCGTATTTTCAAAAATTGAATTGTTCAGACAGTCAAAATAAATTCACAAATATTGTTAAAATATTGGGAGTCGTTGAATTGGCAGCTTTTTCATTAACGATGAGTAAATAGTCTTAATTTAACAATCTCACTTGACCGCTACAGATTAATACAGCATTTTAAAAGCTTATAAATTATTCTAATTAAAATTTAAAAGAAATGAAAGCAGTTGTAAAAATGGATTTTATTCTTCGAAAAAAAATTTTTCCCCAGGAATTTCTTATTCATAATATATATTTATTTTCTTGTTCAAAGTTTATTTTGTGTTCGTCTTATCTTGTTTTCGCACGTCCAGAGCGCCTGAGAAAAACACTGATGTTAGAGAGCTCTCTCAGTCCCAGACCCATGCTGACTATTGCCTAATACATGCCCAGTATCGTTCATATGCAAATAGTCTGCGCCACCCACTCTAAGTAGGTCTTCTCCCAACAGCCCATTGTGGAAACGGACGCATTTCCTGCTGCTTACATCATCACATAAAACCAACTCGGAGTATTTTACCGGACTTACTAAATTCTCTGTTAGATATTTTATGCAAAAAAGCAATTAGAATATTTTCTAATTGAATAATGTCTTAGTTCTATTTTTATTTTATTTTTTATTATACAATTCAGATCAGATTTTCTGTAACTGGGGTTCCTGTTTGACTAAAAAATATTTCCGGATTAAAAATCTGCGAGTACTTGCCTTATAACTAACAGCTAATATTAAGCGCTACAAAAAAGGTATTTTTCTAAATTTCATATAATTAAATAAGTAGGGAATAACAGATATATAAGAAAAAAGAAAGTCTTTCTATAATGATTTTCTTAAAGATTTCAAAAATAATTTTCATTTGGGTATAATTCCCGAAAGATCCATTAAAATCCGACGTTTATCTGGTTTTGCAAGAATTTCCATATCTCTGTTCTTCTCAACAGGAAGACGCTAAAATTTCCCCGTAAAATTTTATGCGAGAATAAATGGTGGCAACCACTAGAGAAATAAAGGTTGAACCAAAATTTCGAAGGTTCTAAAAAGGATTAAAATTTGTTTTTTATATATATATATATAAAATTATATTTTATATATTTATAGATAGATATGTATATATATATATATATATATATTTTAATATATATATATATATATATATATATATTATCCACAGACATTGTTTTTATATAGATAATATATTTTAGTATGACTAAACGTCCTGTTACCTCTAGCCAAGATCGAAACCCGGCTGAATTGGCGTCGGTCGGAGATTCTACACCTAGCCGTTAGTGCATGGCAGGGATGAAGGTGAATTTAAGCGTATTTATTTTTTTTAGATAAACACAGTGACTGCGAAACTCGATTCGTTACACTGAAGAGTTTTACAATATTAGCAATAATCGCCACCGTTTACAAACTTACACTTTCTCCCTCGAGAGCTCAACCGAAATAAATATTTCAGGAGCATATATCTATCGTCATCCACAGGTTGTTTCGCTGATAATCATTTTCATTTCAATCGCACTTTAGAATAAAGTACGATTGAAGTGTAAATAAAGTGTAAATGATTATAAATAACTAATGTCATCTATATTGTTATTCTTTTACTAATATCTGTATAGTCACTTTAGAGTTTATCGGGTAATTTCTGAAAGAAAATTGAGCCTTATATGGAAGCAATAGGGTGAATAAGATACGTATGTCTATAACTTTTATACAAAGGAAATCGTTAAACAATCGAAGAAAGAAGTTGGAGATTACGATGTAATGTCCTCCCTATGATATGTAAGTTAAAGAGAAAGATTTAGGAAACTACATAGAATAACGTTTCATAAGAATAAACTACTAAAGTTAATGGAAAAAACACAACGAAGAAAGATGACTTTAAAACTTTGACACTCACAGGACAAGATAAGAACAGCATACGTCATTTGGGCTAATTTAATATCGAATTTTATATGCTGCACTGAGAAAGAATCAAACTCATTATTCATGGTTCACTAGACGGTTCTTGTTAACCATGTCGAAGCGCACCAGAAGCTGGAGAAAGCGGTGTGTAAGCCACCTGAGCAGTTTATTCATCTATCCATTTGCACAAGAGGGAAGAACACTCAGGGTCGAACATATTGCCGAGAGAAACAAAATAAAGAAAGGCATGGAAAGCCATAATCATCCATATACGAAAGGAAGAGATAGATATTAGAGATATCAAATTGGCCAAATAATTATAATGAATTATTAATCGCTTCATTTGACAGTTTCAGAGGAAACAAAACATGTTCATGAAGCTTAGACGGGCACAAAGCCAAACCGCGAGGGAACTCGGTGAGAATCAACTAAAAATTAATATTTAATATCTATATCGAGGGTGAAAAGCTGTAAATAAAAAAAAATAGTTTTGCTGTAAGAAAAATCTGTCTCTGTCTCTCTCTCTCAATCTGTCTCTGTCAATCTGTCTGTCTCTCTCTCTCTCTCTGTCAATCTGTCTGTCTCTCTCTCTGTCAATCTGTCTGTCTCTCTCTCTGTCAATCTGTCTCTCTCTCTCTCTCTGTCAATCTCTCTCTCTCTCTCTCTGTCAATCTGTCTCTCTCTCTCTCTGTCAATCTGTCTGTCTGTCTCTCTGTCAATCTGTCTGTCTCTCTGTCAATCTGTCTGTCTCTCTGTCTCTCTCTCAATATATATATATATATATATATACACACACACACACACACACACAGTGGCGGGGGGAACAAATATTCGTATACATACAATTTTTTAATTTGTTTCCAAAGAAGGAATAAACATACTTTTCATATAATTAACTGTAGAGATGCATAATAACTAAATAGAAATCACAATAAAATGATTTAATAGAAATAAATCCCATTCATCCATTCTAATGGGGGTGGAGTATTCGTGCAATCAAAAAAAAAGTACATCATCTTAATTTAATACTTTTTTATTCACTTCTACATCAACCACACCCTTCTTGCAGTTCTCCAATTAATGATTTGCAAATTTTAGTTGGTATTTTGTTCCAAATGGTCTTCAGATCCGGGATGTTTGTTGGAGGTATCGATTAAATTTGAATTTTCAAATAACTCTACAGATTGGGTTGAAATCTGTGGACTGACTTAACCATTTCAGGATATTTACATCATTTTCTGCAAGCCATTTATTCATACATTTTACAGTATGCTTTGGATCATTATCTTGTAGGAAGACCTAATCAGAAAGAAGTTCAAGATTTTCAATCGAAATATTTAAATTTGCTTCTAAAATATTTTGATATGCTGCGACATTCATTGTACCACGTATCACTGATATAATGCCAGTGCCTTTTGCAGAAAAAACAATTCCAAACCATGATGCTGCTACTACCACAATTTCACTGTTGGAACTGCGTTCTTTTGTTTGACAGCATCGCCGTTTTTTCCTCCATACATGCTTTCTAGAATTAAACCCAGACAACATAATTTTGGCTTCGTCTACCCATAATACTCTTTCTCAATACGATTTTTGCTTATCCTTATGTTAACGAATGAATTTCAACCTGGCATCTCTTTATCTTTTCAATAACACTGGAGTTTTCGGAGGGTAGTGTGACTTTAGATTGTTCCTATGAATTTCATTGCTTATTGTCCATTTAGTGACATATTTCTGATGAAAGCAAGTCAACCTGCAATTCTTGACTAGTAACCATTGGATTTTGTTTTAATTTGACGCCTCGAAGAAATCTTCTGTGGAGCACCTGATCTTCTTAGGTATTCAACAGCTTTTTTATACCTTGCAATTTATGAACTAAAGGTATCAAATAGAATATTCAGTTTGTAACTTTTATCTTTTTTCCAGAGTTCTTTTTGCGAAATTGTCAATTCTTTACCTCTCGCCATGAGGATAACCTTCTTCTACAAATATCAATTACAGAACGTTCTGTTTGTACTTTTTTTTAGGCTAGAAATAATTACTGATAACCTTATTCAACTGGAATATTTTCCAATAATCTAGAGTATTAATGCAATCTTAGTTTTAAATCTGAAATTTGCATTGTACGAATATTTTTTTCACCTATCAAAATGAATAAATGCTATGTATTTCTATTAAAACATTTTCTGTTTTCTGTACATATTTACTTATGCATCTGTGTAGAGTTAATTATAAGAAAAGTATGTTTATTCATTAGTTGGAAATACAATAAATTAAACATTTGTATGTATACGAATATTTGTGTCCTGCCCGAATATATATTTACAAGGAGTTTTTTTTGTCTCCCGTTCAACTGTGTCCCGCACATAATAACCAAGCGTGGGGGGGTGCAGTCTGGAGAGTTAGGTGACCAGATGTATGGGGGTGATGATGTCGCAGAAATTGTCTGACAGCATGACTGGGTTCTTTTGCTTGTGTGGCATGGTGCAGGACCGTGTTGCCAGACAATAGTGTCTTCTAGCAGCCACCCTCTTGACCTAGAGCAACAATACCTTTTCTAGACACTTGATGCAAGTGCTCAGGCTGCATCTGAGGAAGATGAATAGAGGCATAATGTCGCCATCACTTATGGTCACTACAAATACTTTCGTAATCACCATTAGACGCATCCAACCATTTTCGAATCCTTTACACTGTCCTTAAATTGATACCTAAGTAATCTGAAATGTTCGTATTGGAGCTTCTGGTGCGAATGCCAAGTAGTATAACATGTCATTTCCAAATTACTGGCGGAGTGAATTGCGACATGGTGGTCTTTTTCTCATAAACAGTGCCCAAATGGACCCTACTCTACTCTGGAGCCGATGAAATAACAACACGCATGCGCGAAAAAAAATGGCGACAATTTACCCATCGCACCATGTGTATATATATATATATATATATCTTAAATTCGGTCTCAAAATTTATTATAGTATTCGAGAAAAAAAAAAAAAAAAAAAAATGGCGACAATTTACCCATCGCACCAAGTGTGTATATATATATATATATATATATATATATCTTAAATTCGGTCTCAAAATTTATTATAGAATTCGAGAAGGCAAAAAAAAAAAATGGAACCTCATCTGATATTATTGCCAAAAACTGACTAAAGCCTTTTTCAGTTTGATTTTATTTCAAGGCATAAATAGGACATTTTCAAGAGAACTAGGACCCTGCAATGCTAGTATGTAGATAGTGTTATGCATACTTCGAAAATATAAAATGGGTAAAAAAAAAAGTACTCTTTATACATACTAATATTTCTAAATATCGACTACCTTTAAATTAGTACATAGCAAAAATACGAAAAGGATTTTCCTACAGTATAAGTATCTGAAATTGTGAATTTTTGCTTGGGATTGAACCCAGTACTTCATAAACGATGGAAAATAGGTAATTATAAGAACTACAAACATAATAGTTGTATCTGTGTCGAAATAGTTACTCATATACATGTCTCAAACTGCCACAACGGCACAAGTTTGGAGCATCTCCTTACCGTAGCAGTGCTGTTCGAGGTAGATGCCTGGTGATGAGTAAAAATCTATTCAGCTGGATTTGAAATAATAAAAAAAAAAAAAAGTATATATTTTTATGGGCACAAGTGAGATTCGAATTTATTATCGATGATATCGGAATATATACCATAAATCACTTTGCTGAAACTGGTGTCCTAAAAAGGTATAAACTCGAAGAATAGGTGGATATGAATCTTTGGATTGAGAGGCAGATCTGTGTAGATTTTCATTTTAATGCTTGTATGTTTCCTGAAGAGCAGATCTCTGGAGGCACTGACATATTAGGCATTCAATTGGAGAAAAAACGTTTCCGAGTAAATATGACACTTCCTTTCGCACCATGGTTCCCATGATGCATTGCGACTCCATATTTTGTTTGAGATGCCGCCAGACTTTACCAGTTTTCTCGTTCTTTATTGAACTTATACGAACTATTTCTATGTGCAACAGATTTATATCTTTGCAAAAGATATTTCTGTATATATTTTGTGGAGGGAGAGCGAGCACATACGCACACTCTTCATAAATCTTTATTGCTTGCTGAAGTAGATTTTGCTTCTGCGCATGCGTATTTGCATGGGCGATTTGAAAATGCTAGACTTCTAGAAAGAAAGATTTATCATCGTGATTAATTCACTTTTTTTTTTTTTTCCAAGTACTGTCTTAACCCAAATTTCTCACTTGTTTATTACAAGCTTCATAAACCCTGACAAGACATTTATTTTTTTTATTTTTTTTATTTTTTTTAACTTAAAGGCATTCCCCTTCTCCCAAGAAGCCTTTATTGTCACTGGGCCCTGTCCACCAGAGACTAAGAAAAAAAATCTACTAAAAAAATAACCTCGAAGATAAGAACGTTAAGCTTTGCTATGCACGTACAATCAGTCAGTATTTTGAGTATGAAATGGTTGAGTTTAGCAAAATACTTAAAAATAAACCTTCCTTTCACGATCTTTTGGGACTAGCTTGCTAAGAACTCCATTATTTCGAGATAAATGTTGGTGTTACTTAGTACACGTACAATTGTAGCTATATATTAACAGAAAGTTTTTTTGTTTTGTTTTTTGCTTCCATAAAGAAAAGTAATTTTAATCGTGTCCATGAATATAAATTTATCTCTCCATTGACAAAATGTTGCAACACAATCTTCCTCTCGCCATTCCATCCATGAGAAATTTTTCTTTTGTTTGTGGATATTTACTGCTTTCGCATTTTTTTTTTTTTTTTTTTTTTTTTTGCGTCATATCTTTTCAGGATGTAGCAATTCATTTTTCTCTTATATCTACGAATTGGCATGACTTCTTCAGAAAGACATTGGAGTAGTTTCTCGTTGTCATTCCATTTTCCTGAATTTAAATGTGTGTGTTGTTTTGGTTCGACTATTTATATAGGCTGCTCAGTGGTGCACTATGGGTAGCAAGGTCTATTGTATTATCCTGACGCCTGGGTAGGCGCTAACGGTTATGTTTCAAATTATTCTAAAGGCCCTTGAATAGAAACAACTGTGGATGTGGTATTTATACTTTTAATTTGTATTTTTAACTTTTATTTATTATTATTGCATTTATTTCGATTTGTATGCATTCGTAGTTTGTTCATCTGTTTATTATTTTCTTAATTTTTGGTATGAGGAATTATCATCATTATTATATATTGTGCTCATTTTTTTTTTCTTTTTTGTTATCACAACCTTTTCGACAGTTGTGCTCTCCGGCGTTCCTAGGTTAATCTGGGTAAACTACAGGGAATTCTGAACTAAACCCTTTATTAAAACTATGGTGACAGACTATTCATGTTCCACTGACCATGACATCTTGTTCTTATTTTCATCTCATTTTCTTCTTATTTTATTTAGTACTGCTCACTTATTGCTTTCCCGTTTCCACCGAGTCCAGTTATACACACCTCTATCCAAGGATTGAGCTCACAACCACTGTCACCAAATTCAATGAACCAATCCTTTCCCAGAACAACGGCCTAGTCAGTTGGGTGACATTGTGGTTGCGAGTATAATCCCTCCGATATTTTATATATTCTACATCGAGAACTGATTTTTGTAACATCTTTATTGCTTGCTTTATTAAATATATGATATGATTCCAACACGCTTTTAAAGAAGTTTTTTTTTTTTTTTTTTTTTTTTAAAATAAAGGTTCAGAGTGCTCGACCTTAATTCGGGAGCTAATATAT